GGGACTCCAAATTAGAGACTTAATAAGCTATTTATTATCTAGTTATTAGCCAGTACCTAGTTCAACTTAGTTAGCAGGTGAAAATGAAGCTTTTCATATAGCGCATCTCACATGCGAGCTAGACACTGCGAAAGACATAGTAAATGCTAAGATGATATCGCAACACCCACACTAACTATCTACATGTAGCTATATAGACTTTCCACACGCTAATGCTTTTTATATGATATCTATTTACTTTAGGGGATTCGGAAACTTGAATGAACTGTGTAGTGACGAGGATATATATATTTCTAGTTCATAGCATCGTACTCCGTATATTTTGATACTATAATATTACAAATTTCCTATTTATTAGAAATTGAGATACATTACCAAAAATGCTTATCAATAGCTATCGACAAGTACAGGAACAAAATAACAGCTTTGGCTGTTGGGATATAAGGTCGTAAAATATCGCATTTACTCGCGTCATGTACCTCGCACGTGAGACTCTCCAACTTGGGGGTCCACCTGGATTTCGAATACGATCATTGCTCCCATACCTCTTGATTCGCTAGAAATGGTGGGTGTACGAATTTTGAGCAATCAGCGTCGTATGTCACGACAAATATGTTGCATCATCTGCAAAAGAACCTTGGAAGTTGCCGAGAAGATTGTCCCAATCATTCCAAGTCTTCGGGCCATCATCAAGCAGGAAGTCAAAGTTTTCGGCATCTAGTCCGAATTGTGAACTAGAACGGTCGTGCCTGGATTGATCTTGTGGCCTAACACCTCGCTCGACAGCTTCTAAGTTTTCATCTTCCTGTTGCGGACTAGAAATTCCTGCTGCTTTGGCTAGCAAGGATGCAACGATAGTTGGACAAGGCGTTGGTGTGCGGTGGTTGAGGTTACACTCGTCAATGTACTTCCGCCAGGTCTTGACAATTAAATTTTCAATGGCCATGTGAAGAGGTGTTGGGGCGTTCTTGCTCATCGTTCCGATATGCCCAGAGTACACATTTCCAATCAATTGCCAGACTTTGTCCTTCTCTTCGGAATCAGTCCAGTGCCGCATCCCCGTGAGCATGAATATGATGGCGTCCCATGGCATGTGATTCACCATGTGCCACGAGTATTTCCGTACGACTGGATTGTTTTGGGCGTAGTCAGCATACTCTATCATCTTGAGGGAATTGTCGATGATGATCCTTCTCTCTGCCTGGGAGATGTTGTTGGGATCCTTGTATAGACGAGGATGGTGTGCCATCAGCCGGGTATAGTATATAGCTGAACGCGCCATCATTGTCGTTGCTATATGTAGCGGGATGGATTTATCGCAGTGTCGAAAGAACGTATCTTCCATGTGTGCTTCCAGTCTATCAATTGCTTTATCCTTGTCCTTCAAGGGCATCGATGACGATGATAAGAAGGCCCATGGCCCAGTATTAGAATTCTCAGCCTGGCTTGACACACGAAAGAGCCATTTTCCAAATGCACTCCGAGCCAGAACGAACATCATTTCTGTCGGTCCTGGCTTCTCGTAGGCTGGCTCCGTCATGCGAGGATCGAGGTCACTATCATTTGCATTCATTGGTGGTTGGACATCGATTGTGGTTGGGAGCGGCGATGCTGCTACACCACAGAACTGTGCAGATGTGCCATCTATGATCATGAGCTGGAACCAGATGCGACGGCGCATCTCGGTTTCGAATACTGAAAGTCCGTGTGCAGCCCCGTCACGGTGAATCCCAATTCGTTGCGCAATTCTTACTGCAATGCCACATAATGTCCAGACAGTATGTGGGTCAGAGAACGAGCGCATGCAGAGCTAAACATCGTTAGAAAGGGATTAGATCTCAAGGAATGTAGACATACTAAATATAGCATGAATGCCTGGAGAACCACTGAGCTTGATGTGCGAAGAAGCGATGCATTCTTGAAAGCGAGTTGCGCTCCTCGTCTGCACCTTGACAGGAGGGCTTTCTTGCTTTCTCCGAATGACTTCTCGACATCTTCTGCTTGCAAGGAAATCAATGCTATGCAGTATATTGCGAACATCAATGCTTCGACCTCCCGGCTTACTCCTGGCAGATCACTCATGGCGTCCAAAATTTGTTGTTGCACAGTTGGGGCATGTATAATTTTGGTGAGTGGGTTCACATTCTCGAGAAATGCCTGCCACAACTTGAAGATATTCAGGGGGCTTGGGTGGAGTTCTATGAGAATGTCTCTTTTTGCAGATGTCGAGAGTATCGCATAATCGTCGCTCACATCCTGGGAAAAGTCATCGGTACCACCATCCGATCCATCCCTCAATACGTCCGCTGCATTTGGGAGCTAGCAAAGATGGTCAGCATCGACAGCACTCGGGAGTCAGAAAATACTAACCTCATTGCTGACACTGGTCCAAAGATCGCTGATGTGCAAGTCAGAACTTCAACTTTGACATTAGGTCAAATGCAGTGCAAAGCAACTCACGTGTCGAGATAGATGGAATTGCCATCTTTCGTGATCATCCTCCCAGATCCACTTTTCCCTGCTTCAATCCGTTGCTTTCCCTCAGCAGAACCATGATTATTCTGAGTGAATAGTGGATTTCTTTCGAATTCCGTGCTGCGTCTAAGATATTTTCCGCGTCCATGAGACACACTTTCATTTGTCTCACGGTCCCTTTTGCGACGAGGCGGTGGTGGAGCACGGTAGATGCACTCCACATTCGCCTTGGCGCAATTTGAGCAGGGACTACACGAGTCTTGTTTATCGCATTTGACCTTCCGATCGTGACAGACCACGCATGCGAACGATGCGGGTTGTTTGGATGGCGAGTCCATTGCCCGGCCACCATCCAAGGAGCTATTTGGACAAACCATCGCTGCAGCACACTCTTTGAAAAACAACCCAGCTAGACATCGATGACTAGCATGCTTGATTAAAGCAATTTGATCTCTGGTGGTATTGAGGAGAGGAAAGGATAAGGATCGGGAAGGCAGATGTCCGTGATATCCTGATGCCTTGAATATAAGGCATGAGGTCCACATCACCGGCATCATCCCAATCTCGGTTGTTTCAAACTCCACATCTTCGCTCGAAAGGATCAAATGGTGTTTTTGCAGTACTTTGTTTGGTCCCTTAACTGCGTCTCTACAGTCTGGGCACACTCAAATCACAGCTGGAGCCATTCCATCTAAGTTTCTATCATCCATTTGTCTTATTTACAGTTCCATCTCAAAGATCTCAGAGGTACATGAAAGAATATCTCAAATAATTCACCAAATGTATGAACTATGACGCATACGCATTTTATCCATCGAGTCCGAACAGTCCTTCGGAGGGGTAAACGGGGCTCGATGTCAGCTGGGTCGAAAGAGTCCAAAGCTTCGGGATGGGAGCGACTCCCATCTCATATCTTTGTTATGATCCTAGCATCCTGTGATCTGAAGGATATTGGGTCTTTGTCTCTTTCCTGTCGAGCGCTCCATGACCGGGTTTCTAAGCTGGAATTTGCCATAGCATGGGCATATATTCAACTCCGAAAACAGAAGCATCCAGGCCATTGTATTGATGGCAGCCTGTCGCCGGGTGATGATATTGCCTTCGTCTCCGAGCTATTTCCTCCGCCACCTCCTCATTATAGCAAAGGCGTGGCTCATGACAATGCAGGTTATTCTCTGGGATATCTCGGCGATCTGAAACGATGCTGGAATACTTGCATCCGACTCTCCCACCACCTGGCTGATCATGTGGTCGCACATCATCTGGAGACCAGTACAATTGCGCAGCATTTGTGGTCGTCTTCCCAAACAGAGAAAGAAGTTGTCTACAGTAAAGCTGTAGCCTCGCTCCAGGCCAAGCTTTTGTATCCGATGTATGGCCCCACTGTACTAGTTAGTTAACTATTTCTTGGAATCTTACTAACTAACTCGAATATAGAGCCTACGCGATATTCTTCTTAGAATCATCCGCATCTTCAGACTCTGACTCTGATCACTCGGGTCATCGCCACAAAAATATGGCATCTTCTATTGAAAGACAGCAATCAATTCTCCGTAATGCGCCTTTTGACGATACACATATATTTCTGTCGACCCATCACTGCATGCAGCTTCTATTTTCGACGGTCCAGCGCTTGATGGGCCCGGAAATCCCCCATTCCTCCGCGAAAAGCTGGTTTAGTCTCCTTCTCACCACTTCCACCATGGAGAGAATCGTCAGCTTCTTTGTTTCCATCGCGAAGGATAACCAAAGAAAAAGAAAGGGCGAGCATGATTCCACGTGGTCTCATAGAAAGGAGTTTCTGTGGGCGATGCGATGGGATCTGAACGAGTACAATGCGTCTCTCAGTGATCATGGCGAACAATCAGACCTCGAGCCAAAAATTAACCATATATGGTTCCAAGCAGCACAAAATGAGATGGACCGACGAGGGGCTATTCCGCATACTGTTCAGGACTCAGAATTGCACGTTCTCCACGGGTCCATTGTGAGATTGGAATGTGAATATTGCTATGATTGTTATGACGAATGATAGCTTGGAATAGTACAAAAGTCTTCAATGCAAATTGTAAATCACATTTTATACTCCTTTCGCCTTGGATATACTATACAATTAATTCCTCTTATCCTTCTAGCTATAATACTAATAAGAAAATATTTCGCGCCTGTGAGATGAAGCTCCGCGCTAAACCGCTTCCGCTCGGTTCCCGGCAGTTCGGGCGCCGAGCACACAACTTCAACCGACACCTTTCTCTCCCCCAGTGCCTAATTAATATTGATTCCGAAATTCCGTTGCGAGTTCCGAGATCAATATGTCTGCGGTAAGTTTGCCTGAATAATGTCGTCGCGAAAGGCATAGGCTGTTTCTAAAACAAACATAATGTAGCTCAGCTAATCGGCTACCAGTGCGATTTATGTCATACTCGGAAGGTATAACCATTCGTTTTTCACATATGATTCTTTGACGGATGCTTATCTCGGGTCATTGTATGGAGTAGGTGAAATGCGATCGCCAGGACCCTTGCATGAACTGTACCGATGCAGGTGCAGAATGTCTTCGCAATCGCCAGGCACGAGTTCATAGACCACGGGTCTCTCGGTACGTGCAATTCACGATGCGCGTCTTTAAAATCTATAGCTGACATTTTCAAGATTGGAGACATTGTCCCAAAGGTTGGCGAGGCTAGAAGAGTCAAGCAATAAAGAGGCAATATACTTTCCAGCAAAGAATTACGCCACTAGCACAACGTCTTCTTCGCCTTCGGGCAACCTAACAAGTAATACTGAAATTCTCAACGACAATCAGAAGCGATATCGAGCGTATGAGCCCCATGACACAGCTGCCCTGCAGGCACCACTAAGTAAGCACCGCAAGTCTCAGAGTGTGGCGCACCAGGCACATTCTCCTGGCTCAACACATCACGCGAGTGAGGCTAGGGAGTACATTGAGCATGAACTCCAATGCAACCCGGCTTTATCAAAAGATAGGCGTACGGCCCTTGAATCAGCGCGCAAGTTCGTCAGTCAGCTATCCAATCCGACTCTATATTGGGAGGAGACTGCGGCTATGCCTGATATGGATGTTCAAGAAACCATACAACCACCTACTCTCACACCGGAATTGCTCTACATGATGCTACCTGGTAAGTTATCGAGAATGGGTCAGATGTCAATGATACTGATCATTATAGGATCCGATAAGAAAACCAACTCTCAGGGAACAATCAATTGGCCTGATCACATCTCCGACAAAGTACTAGAGCAAATGGGCCTTGCAATTATCGAGGGCACAGAATGTGAGCAAGTGCTCCAGCATTACCGGATCATTGTCTGGGTGAAGGCCATGATTTGTATATCAAAAATGGCCCCTCTCATTATAAGCGAGCCTTTGAGGGATCATTTTCGGTCACTCAAGAAGAGGTATGAAGTCGCTGCCACAGAGATTTTGAATCAAATTCCACTCGCAGCTGAACCTAGTCTTCTTTTGCTTCAATCGGTTCTGTCTGCAGTATGTTTCTCCTGTCTCTTCCGCGTGGCTTTATATACATTGACTCATTTCTGACTCACGACAGACCCGTTTGATGCAATATTTAGGAGACATGACACGCTGCTGGATGTTGACAGCACTAGCGTCACGGATGATTGTTTCCTTGAACTATCACAACATCACAGATACCAGTCCTCGAAGTCAGATAGAGGAAAATATTCACGCTAGTGTGTACATGTGCTACTACTTCGACAAAACACTCAGCCTCCTGCTCCTCCGACCACCGTCTCTACCGAATCTGAAAGTCAAACCAACCAAGTTGATCCACATCGACCCTGATCTACCAACATCTACTATGATGACAGGCATAGTGGAGTATTCAGAGCTGAAGAATACTCTACTGTACATATTGCTCGATAACAAGACAACCGGAGACACGGAGAAGGCCAATATACTGTCTGATCTTGTGGCGCGGGCACAAATAATCCACTCCAATATGCAAACAGTAAGAGAAATCAAGGATCCGCCAGCATAACCGCTAACCCAATTTTCAGTCTCGTCGTCACCAAGAACAGCAATTCCCACAATCATGGAGCCATCTGCGGCGCGAATGGCTATCAATTGACTTCAACTACTACTCTATTCTCACGACAATCATCCAAGCCCGCTCCTCGGTACTCAAGTCTCGCTTGGTTTGCGAGAACTGTCTGTACACTGCCCGAGAAGCCCTCTCCACTCTTCGAGCTTTACAGGAAGCATGCTCAAGCCGCATCAATTCTATCGATTCCTATCCATACTTTCTTACCTGGTATGATATAGCTATTTCAAAGCCACTCTCAATACCTTACAGTCGAAACTAATGACCCTAACAGGACAATGCTGCTATTCCCTCTAGCACCGTTCTTTGTCCTGTTTTGCAACGTGATCGCAACATCAAACGAGAAAGACTTCAATATGATCAAAAACATCACCGGCGACCTACATCAATTCGCAGAGGCGAATGCCTCGATCGGCAAGCTGTACAAGCTATTCTCCAAATTCCTGGACCTGTGTGCACCTTTGGTCAAAGGGAATCCCGAACCTTCCCGCTCAGAACAGCCAACAGCTGCACTCCCCGAAGCGAACACAGCTGGAAACACCGAGGGCAATATTGCGTCCTACACAGATATATTTGGCCGTGCTAGCAATGACCCTCCGGCTTTTGTCGGTCTTGGGGGTGCAGATTCCACCGGAGAACTCACTGCGCCACCGTCTGTGGGGGGATGGGATGACAGTCTTGTGTGGGAATTGTTCGATAATCAGCCCTCGTTGGGGTGGGCGGAGTCGGAACTGTGGAATGTGATGACGCAGTTTGATGCGTGACATAAATAGAATGAATACTGGCTTCAAAATGTAGAAGTGATTCATGGCTATCGCATGATCTCGGTTCATTGAATTCAAATAGTACTTGAGGTGTATTTACGCGTGTGGCTCATGAGGACACAGTCCCAAGCAACAAAGAGCACAGAGCACAGAAAAAAGTGGAAACGAAGATAAAGAGAGTGATGAATTAGACATCCCAGAGTCTAGCCAGGCAGTAAAAGACATGAAAATGCTCAGCGAGTGCGGATATGCAGAAGGGCCATGATCTGTGGAAACACACGGGCCAGGTATTATAGTACAGCATGAAAAAAGGGCAGATATCATGTCTATCACGAAATCAGGACCCAGAGAAGGAAGAAAATCTATAACGGTCATTAGTATGAGCAGACAAGAAATTTAATATGAGTGAACATACCATCAGAATACCAAACATTTTGGCAATTAGCCAGCGATTGCCGGAGACACGCGTCCAATACTTCATTAGTTCTCTCTGTGCTCCCTGGACGTTGTCGACCACATCTTCGGTATTGGCATCTATGCGTTGAATCATTTCTGACTGTTCGCTAACCATCTGCGCCAGCTGACCAAAAATGCCACCCAATTCGCTGATGGTTCGCTCAATGGCTTCGATGGCTTCGCCTCGAGCTTGAACATATGTATTACTCGATTCTCCTTCTTCCATTACCATCAGTTGTTGATCTGATTGGAAGGACGGACGCCCCAAGGGCGAAGGGTTTGAGGGCTCGAGGGTCAAAAGGTCGGAGGAGTTGCCTTGATATCCGGGCTGAGGTGTCCGTCGTCCCGCGGTGTTATACAAAGGCGAGTCTGAGCGCTGTGCGTCGAGGGCGCTGTGTGATTTGGACGATACCGAGGAAACGAAGTTCTTGGTTCGAGTTCGGGATGCTTGAATATTCTTCGTGCGGACTTCCAGTACCTCTTTGAAACTAGCGCCTACATCGGCCAGCTTTCCCTGCAGCATAACAACAACCTGAAATGGGTAATCAGCGAATTGTCCGTGCGCGGCCTTTCCCATGCCTCACTCACATTGTCATTGTGTTCTCCCTCCTGGTCTGTCTTCGAGCGATTCGATTTGGGGTGTTGCGCTTGGGTGAGCGCCTGTAGCGAGGCGATGTTTTGGTTTAAAGCAGCGAGGTCTTGCTTAATCACGTATGTCAACTCGGAGATCTCGACAGGCCGGTCGTCGAAGAGTGTTTTCCGCTTCGCCACTGTTTCCTCGTTAGATTGCTGGCATTTTGAGCAACGTGACCAGACTTACATTCAGCCAATCGCTGCAATTTTGCCATTGTTCCAGTTATCCCCCTTCCGATATCTCGCGCCCGCCGTGCGAACTCCGACCTTGCCGCCTTCGCCTCCTGTACGGGACCTTGGGGCGACACATTGGCTTGTCGCCTTTGCGCATCAGTCAACAATGCCTGGCGCTGCGAACCAACTTTCGATGTCCCCAGGCGCTTCTGGGCGTGGCCCAAGATCGCGCTGAACTCGCTGGTCCTGTCTTGTATCGACGGGCCGGTCATTGTGCGATGTGGAAGATGTGAAGCGTGGGAGACAAGTAGCTATAGTCTTTCAAGGAGCACCAGTATTGAGAAGCAAATGTAAATTAATGTCGACAAAGGCCGAACTCGGTTTTGGAACTGAAGTGTGATCTATCTGCAATAGATAAGGGGGGCGAGGTGAAGACGTGTCCGGTTGCAGGTAAAGAGCTCCGAGGTACAACGTGACTTGAATCCAGGAACAAAGCAGACCGGATATACTCCGTACAGTCAAGTAAGAAGATGGAGGGTCAAGGCCAACGAGGTCCACAAGGTCGACTTTGTCGCAATGAGCCCCGTTCGTCCACGTAACTAAACCTTGGAATCCGAAACGCGTTACATAAGCCCCGCACCGCCACCCAAATTCAGCCCTTTGACGTCGTTAGATCAGGGGAATATACAACTTAGCTCGTTTCATGATACTAATGCTATTCTATTCTTCTTGATATAGCTGGCTTGATCTTGTGTTCCGCTGTGGATACACGTCATTCTTGTACATCTTGTTTCATCCAATTGTCCCAACCTATTTGATTGGTGCTTGCCCAACTTGGGCCAAATCGCCACCTTTCTCTCCCCATACACATCATTAAGAGAACATTGCTGCTCACATTCTTCTCTAACACTTACAACTTTCTCTTGCGCAAAATTATCAGAGACCACCAGGCAACAGTCGATGCTGGTGATCGCGCGCGACTCAGTACCTTGATCCTGTTCCCTAATGGCAGACCCAACCCAATCGCAGGGCCATGGAGCCCCAAAACTGTAAGACAATTTATCCAAATCTAGTCGCATATCTAGTCCTCAAATACTAAGACCTGCCTTAGCCCTTCCCCGCCAACTGTGCTCAGTCCGCTCTCGTCAGGCAGCGGAACCCCGATCTCATTCCAAACAAACGTGAACCGCTCCAAAACAAAACGCTGGGTGGAAGCGAAGCAATATTCTTATGATGGAGGTGACTGGGGTAGCGACGACGACGACGACGAAGAGGAGGAGGCGCCTCCTGTAGTACATCGGCCGCCCTATGTCACCCGCAACACTGGCAGCTCATCCGAGTTGTCCTCGAGGCGTTTGTCTAGCATCGGACTCGGAGCCGGCGAGTCGCACTTGGCTGATGGCAAAGGTAGGAATCTTAGTGGAGGAGACCAAAAGGCCTTGCCCTTTGTAAGGCCGGCCGACCTCTATAAACGCATGCGCGAGGAGAAAGCCGCACAGCATTATCCTATCACTGGTAGCAATGATCCCAAGCCTGACGGGTTTGGAGTTCCGCCTCAAACAGATCAACAAAAGCTCGATTTGGGTCTACCGGAAGTCAAGCGCGTATCTAGCTTTGGTACCGATTTCTTGGGTGGTGCAGACTCCAACCCGCCGAAGGATAGCTCTGCATCTCAGGAGCCCTATTTGCACCACAACTCCTCCACGGGATTCCGATCGGTAGTGAATCAGGCCTTTGATGTCCCAGAAACTCCACAATCTACTGCCACTAGTTTCACACGGTCGAACAGCGATGGCACTTCGACGATCAGCCCTATCATGGGCAGTCGTACTATGACTGATGAAAGAACACCTACCATTCTCGAGGAGCCGAATGAGTCAAACTCCCCGAAGGCAACTGCCAATGCGGTTCCAGCGTTAAACCTAGGTCATCGCCGGGACCTGAGCCTTCCTAGTTCAGACAACAGTCCTTCGAGAAGGCCCCAATTCACAGACCAGGACACCCCAACGGCGGACCGTGCAGAATTATCCTCCATTCCTCTACTCCAGAATCTCTCACCAGATTCATCTGATGAGGGAATCTCTCCTCCGAACGCACTGATGCAATCATACTCGAACAATGGGCAGGATATGCCTGCCCCTCTCAAATTCGGAAGCGCATCGGGCTCTGACGCCTTCCATGGCGAAATCCCCACCATCATGGGAGCCGAAGAATCGCCCCAGAATACCGATAATGATCGCTTGAGGGAGGAGATTATCCGATCATTAAGTCGGGAAGCCACCCCCTCGGAGGACCCGCCCAGCAACCAACCTCAATCGCAGGCACCCGCTGAGTTGTTTTCTGAAAGCCACCCAGACTGGACTAACCTGGCTCCTTCGGTGTCTCAAGACCCTTATGCGACCAGTCAAGACGCGGATAGCACGAACGTTGATCCGCTAAAGAAGCCCAAGTTAGAAAGACGGTTTTCATGGGAATCCTCTGATTCGGCAGAACTACAGGCGCCTCAAATGCCTGGCGGCTATTCATCGCCCCCTCCTTTAGCCAAATCGTTATCTATGCAAGAGCCTGAGCCGATAAGTGAGGAGCCCGTCCTATTGTCGGATGTGCTGCACGACCCGCATGCTTCTGATGAAGAAGGAACTACTCAGCGTGCTGTAGAAAGGCCTCGACTTTCGATTGTTCCACCTATTCCGCAGAACATTACACCACCGGAGCAAATAATGGGACCAGGAGCTACGCCGCCTCCGCCCCTCCATATCTCTTCTAACGCCGGCAGCTCATCCTTTGATGAATCCAAACTTTTGGGTTTCCGTGAAATCATCGGTATCACATCTGTCAACCAGCGTATCAGGTCTTTCGAACACACCCGCGACCAGTTTGCCACCGTTGATACTGGTTTGAATCATTGGCTAGAGTTTATGGTTCATGATCACCCAGAGTATGCCGACGTGGTCCAACAGAGCCAGAATCTCTCCCCTACCGTGCCAGACCCTTCGCGCATCAGATTCCCTAAGTTAGGTACTCTTGGGGGTCTCGGTTCCTTGAATGACGGTACTCCAACTAGTGTCACCCATATCCGACGTCCGTCAGGCCACCTGGGTACCGTGATGAACAAGGAGAAAGTCGGGGAGAAAGGAAAGGAGCTCCTTCATACTGCGGGAGCGTTTAGTGGCAAGGCTACCGGAGCAGCCAAGGGGCTGTTTGCTAAGGGCAGAAGCAGGTTCCGACCCAGTGGCGGTTCTGAGAAGGTAGATGCCTGATTTTTTTTTTCGTTTGAGCGAGTCGTTTATTTGGGTAAGCACGGTGGAGGCCGTCGCTTTAATGTTTCCCTTTCGATATCGCTGCGCTGCTTCATTTTCTGGATACCACGATGTAATTCCGCGCACCTTTCGCATTGAGCTCTAGAATGAGACACGATTGATGCGTCTTTCCTTGCTACAATCTAACATTCCGCCCCTGTTTGTTTACATTCTGATGTTGGTAATGTTGTAGGTTCAGTCAACTCCAAGTGCTTCCCGGCGCAGCTTTCACTTATCCTTCCCTTCAAGGCCGGGTGAGGTGTCTGGTAACTCTTCTCTGCGGAATTCTGTCGCTATTGGCAGTCTACCCATGTTCAAATCTGAGCGAACCGAGCTCAGCTCTGATCCTGATCCACCGGGGGTCAGTTTCTGTCTAGATCGACAGGATGAACACAATTCCAGCGAACCTGTCAAAGCGACCAAGTCGGGGGAAAACTACCCGTCGTACAACCGTGTTAGCGAGACAGCTGTGCAACCGAAGCAACTGTCCTCTTCCAGCGGTGTCCCTCCTAGACCTGAAGTTCCGGGGAAGTCTGCCTTTACTGGAGAGTTAGAGCAGGAGATGATAGCCGCGCTTGGTCTTTCGCCTACAGATTCTCACCACCGAAGGGCGGCAAGTACACCGATGTCGTTGGATGCATTTAGCCAGGTATATGGCGGGAAACGTCAATTCACAGAGCCAATACCGCAACCAGGAGAGATCCCAACTGGCAATCAATCCGTGCTGGCGAACAAAGCCCCAGTCGCAGAAAATCGGTTGCCAGTCATTCCCAATGAGCCTTTTCACGTACCTTTCCCGCTTACGAACCGCCGGGGGCATCAGCCAAGCAAGTCCACACCGGAGATTATTACCCCGTCGATCCGTCCAGTGCTTGATGAAAGTCCTCAACCTCCTCCGCCTCCTCCCAAGGACAATGATAATGGGCTTGCACCTAGCCAGGATTATAGACGCCATCCCTCCGTCTCCACACTCGGAGCTGACGAGCAAGCCGGACGTACATCTGACGAAGAACTCGACAGGGATCCCCCTTCTCCTTTGCAAGATGCAGCAAACGAGGTAGCCCCAGAACCCCGGTATAAACCGGTTGAGCATTCTGTGGATGACCAGCCATCTGTTCAAGTGAAGAGAAGGTCTTTCATACCTTTCTATTCGTCAGGGTTCGCAAGTTCTGCTGAGGTTCTCGAAGCCAAAAGAAAATCGATCAACGGCCAACCTCCATCTGCTCCAGATGTGCAAAGCCCCTTGAGAAATGAAGTCAGATACTCGCCGGCAAACCGAAGCAGTATGCTGAGCTTTGGTAGCTTCGGAAAGCGCAGCGCCAATAGCAAAGGCACTCGCCCGTCGACACCTGCTAACGGTCTTTCACAAGCTTCAAGATCGGGATCTCCTGCAGAGAATGGAGGATCTACTATTGGAAAACTGAAGGACTTTGGGAGACGACGACGCGCTTCTGTGGGAGATCTCCTCTCTGGTATTCAACCGCAAGGACCTCAGGCGCCCCCGGGAGGTCAGCGGAAACGGTTCAACAGGATTAGCGTATGTCAACTTGGACAGTTCTTTTGTTTTCTTTTTCTGACTTAAACAGGGACTATTTGGCCGGCAAGACTCTCACGACCCTGAGAGAAAATCGAGAGACCACACAAGAACCATGTCGGAGCAGCTGAAGAACAAATACCCGCCGACACACCCGTCGCCAAGTGGAAATGTGAATACTAGTCTCGCTACACAGGATGGACCACCGGTCCTCAGCAATCCATTTGAACAAAAGCCTTTGCCGACTCCACGCCCACCCAGCTTGTCATCCTCTCTGGCGACCGGTCGGTTTTACTCGCAGTTTCAGCCTAAATTCATGAATGAAACCCCCGGGTCTCACCCTGCTGGTACACTCGGCCCGCCTCTCCCTAGTCATTCCCGGTCACCGTCTCCCAGGTCATTCTACGAGGATAGAGTTCCACGTCCACAGTCACCGTTGGAGGAGTTACCAGACCACCAAATACATCAACTGCAGGGAGAGGAGCAACACAAGCAAGGCACCCAAGACCAAAACCAGGAGCAGCGGGGCGATGAGGAAGACAAGGAGCACATTCATGGGGGGCCCCTTCGACACGAACTATACGGGGAGAGATCCGAGGCGTCAAACCACGGGCAACAACACGAATTACCAGGCAATCCCAACCAACAAAGCCTGGCTTCTCAGCTCAGCATTCGATCCCGAAAGCCAGCGGTTACATACTCGGTATTCCCGGCCTTGGACAACCATGCATCCCGCAACACTGCCGTTTCAAACGCGATATCCGCGCATCCTCATCGCATTGAGGACCGGGTCCGTGTAGTCAACGACCCACCTCAGCCAGTAGAGCTTGCCATCACCGCAGACAACTCCAGTGAGGAGATCGTCATGTCCCCCACATCCTACCCCGGACAGGAGTGGAAGCCCATGCATTTCTAGCATTTTGATTAGAGCGAATATGATACCCATTGTTCCCTTTCGGGGTTCTTTTGAACCTTGAGTTTTATTGTACTACATGTGCATGTACCGTACAGTCTTCTGTCTTATCTTTTCCATCTCTCTAGCAATTCGATCAGGTCAACCATGCAGACTAAACATACGTAGCGGTTGTGAGACCCTTTTACGACAGTTTTCCACCATCACGAGTCCTGCAAATTCCTCGAGACATTGCACTGGAGCGGGGATTTCCGACAGATAGGTAAAGTACATGTACAAAATTGAGTGAAGAGATAACGAATTCCCCGCATTTCGAAGATATAAGACCAAGATCAGGTATAAACAGCTATAAAAAGACTTTATAGTCTCACTTCCTACACCTAACTACCTCCAAGATGAAGCCTAACGAACCCCCAATCATTGATTTCGCCCGTAAGAAGTGCCCTTAGCATCCTATATGCCGAGAATACCTAACCCCCTCAATAGCCTTCTACGCCAACGACTCAACCAAAGAAGACCTCATCAACCAAATCCAACAAGCATGCGAACAATTCGGCTTCTTCCAGCTAATCAACCACGCCATCCCAACCGAACTCCAAACCGCAGTCCTACAACACTCAAGCGAATTCTTCAACCTCCCCTTAGAAACAAAAGAGAAATACAACCAAGGTAATACAGCCTCCCCCAACTCCCCAACTCCATCAAACAGCAAAAAAACGAAACATGCATAACTAAAACCCCCAGCCATCGGCGGCTTCAACCGCGGCTACGAGCGCCTCCGCTCCCAAAACTTCGAAAAACGCACAAAAGGCGACCTCAAAGAAGGCTTCTATCTAGGCAAAGACCTCCCCCTAAACGACCCATACGTCGTCCAGCGCCGCTTCGGCCACGGACCGAATAAGTATCCCTCCGAAGTGACCGACGCTCAGGGCTTCCGCCGCGTCATGGACGAGTACCACGACGCGATGATCGAGCTGGCTGTAGCCATCATGCAAGTCATCGCGCGCACGCTCGGTCTAGACGAGCATGCTTTTAGTGATTTCTGTGATCACCCCGTCTCTATTCTTAGACTGCTTCGGTATCCGCCCCAGGAGGATGATGCGTCGGATCTAGAGAGAGGTTAGTTTAGGATGTGAATTCTTCAATCAATACCAACGAACTAACAAGTCGAATACAGGAATCGGCGCACATACCGATTTCGGTGCTATCACCATGCTCATGCAGGATGACACAGGCGGGTTGCAGGTCTGGAATAACCTCTCTTCTGAATGGGTTGATGTCACCCCGGTCCCTGGGGCGTATGTGGTCAATCTGGGGAATATGATGATGCGCTGGACGAATGATCGGTACTTGTCGAATCTGCACCGCGTGATTAATACCAGTGGCAAGGAGCGCTTTAGTGTTCCGTTCTTCTTTTCGGGGAATCCGAACTATACTATTCGGTGTCTTCCTGGGTGTGAGGATGCAGATACGGATACATCAGAGAGCGGTAGATATCCCCCGATTACCGTTCATGAGTGGATGGCGGGGAGGTATGCTGATACTTATGGGACGTCGGAGGGGAAGGCTATTGGGGAGATGCGTCAGGAGCCTGATAGGATTAGGATTGGGATGTAGAAGTTAAGCAAGCACTGTTCATACAAGAATCTCACTACTCACTAGACCCATCCAACTGAATCAATCCCCCTAACAACCCCCCAATCAACCCACTCCACATCCCCAAAAACCTTCAGCGGAGTACTATACGCCTCCCAACCCCCCAATCCAAGAACAGAAGTAACACCCCCCTCAACCCGCGCGGTCACATTAACCCCAGGCCCAAAATCCCGATACTCCGCCATAAGCGTAACGCCCTCCTCGAAGCGCCCAACACCACCAACAACCCAATCAACATACCCGCGCGGATCAACACTGCCGTCCTCATAACAGCGCGCAAAGATCGACCGGTGCTGGCTATTCCACGGCCGGCCGAGCGCACACGCGCCCTGGATATCAGTCGCTATGGAGGCGTTCGCGGCGCGCACGCTCGAGTCGACAATGTACACGCCGTACTTGTTCGGGGTTGTCGTGTTCGTGCCCTTCCAGGCGGTTATGCCGCCGCCGCAGCCGCGCAGCTGGAGCGCGCTGGATTGGATCCAGGCTGTGCCGAAGCCGTAGAGAAAGTCGGTTTCGCCGGCTAGGATGCTTTGGTAGAAGTAGGCGTTGCCTAGTTTGCCTATGTAGACCTGTGGGGGATTAGTGTTGGTGTTGGTGTGAGAATAGTGTACTCCCAACGAATAACGAATAAAAGACCAAAAGCACAGTTGGAAAGAAGTTAAAACGCACCGTATCCTGATACGAATAAAACCCACAGTAATAAAACCCCCCATTAGCCCGACTAAGACTCAACGCATGCGCCGGCCCATCAGAGTACTCCGCCCAAGTATTCTCAAAGTCAACATTATACACGCGGAAATCCGTATTCCCGAACGGCGTGTCCGCCGGCACGGGATACCCCGTCGGGCCCGAGCCCGTGAGGCTAGCCTCGAGCGTGGGCGCTACGACCAGCACGCTGGAGAAGACGTTGTCGACAGCGCCGGTGCTGTCGCTGTTGGCGGCGGCCCAGGTTATGCGCACGCGGTTGCGGGATGCGTCTCTGGGGTTGCTTGTTTCGCCCAGGAGGGTTAGTGGGCCTGGGCGGGTTATGTTTACTTGTTCGGTGTAAGTGCCTGCTAGGAGGAGGATTGTTTGTGGGGTGTTGTCGTTGGGGAGGGAGTTTATGGCGGATTGGAGGGTTGGGTGCGTGGTGTTTTTGTCGTTGGGGGTTCGGCTGACGATTAGGGTTCCTGGTGGACAGTGGCCGGTGGATTGGCAGGTTTGTCTGGTGATGGGGTGGATGGGGGTGGTGGCTCCTTGGGTGTGGAGGAGGAGACACAGAAGGCAGAGGATGTATGGGAGCATCGTGGTTGTGTGGGTGATTGTTTACTTCCGATGGGCACGATCTACGGTTGTTCTTTTATAAGGCATTTGGAGTGGATTGTATAGATGCTTAGCTAGTTGCATGAGACGGAAAATTAGAGATTCATATTGAGCAAGACTAGTGCCAGGATAGGTGAGAGTCCGGTGGTGAAAGTAGGAAGTCGAGTGTTGTGGTACTTCTCAATACTTCCTGCATGATGCAAAGAGACGGTGAAGCTTGTCTCCAGGAATTCATCCGGGGAAAGTATGGGGAACGGAGAATTACTTCCACCTATGAGACTGGGAGAGTCGAGACCAAAGGCAGACAAACAAGTTTAGACAAACAATGGGCAACGACAAGATCAGACGAAACCATAGTAGAGAAGATCAGACGAAAGATTACAATGTGGAACAGAAATGATTAGAATCCCTTTAGATTGACTAAGTGCCACTATTAACGACATACATACACGTAGAGAATAAAAACATGACTCTAGCAACTCGAAAGCAAACCACAGCCAGGGGGGTAAATGAAACACACAAAGTCTATAATACGGGTAAAAGGAAGCGAAAAAAGTCGGAACTCGACCTTCTTGACTCCCACGGCATGCATGTTCAATTAGGTGGCACGGCAAAATTTGCGGGTAATCGCAGGGAGATAAAAAAGAGAAATTAGACCTCGAATCAGTAACGAGTTGCAAAAAAGCTAAGGGACGAGCGTTTACTCGTTGTCCTCGATCTCCTCGGCGCGAGCACCGAGGGTGTAACGAGTCTTTCCTTCCGCGTCGTGCTCCATCTCGATGGCAAGCTTGGAAAGGTGGGCGATCATGTTCTCGATCTTGGTGTCGGCCTTGGAGCGGGTCTTGCGGCCAAGGTTGTCAAGAGCGGGGACAATGGTCAGGAGGTAGTACACAACGGCGATGATAATAGTCACACCGATGGAGTAGCCCCAGATGACAACGACGGTGACAATGTCGACATCGTTGTTGTGGGAGAAGCCGGGACCGCCAGCATCGTAGGGGGAGGTCTGCTTCCAGTCGGGTGCGAGCCAGCCGAAGACACAGAACAAGGTGGAGAGGACATCGACGATGAAGATGGCAATAACCAACTGCCACGAGGGCCATGTCTTGGCACCACGGGTAACGAAGATGAGCCAGTTCTCAGTGAGGGCGATCTCGAGGAAGAGGATTTCCTGGGGAGAACCGAAGTTCTGGATGATACCACCGTTCTTGAGGAAGAGGGTACCACGGATAATCCAGGTAGCGGCAGCGAGGAGGAATCCAAGAACGACGGAGATGACCCAGATCTTGGGCAACTGCCACTCGACGGGGCGGGCCTCGAAGTGGGCGTTATCGTAAGCAACGGCAATGGTGGCAAGATCAGCGAACAGGGCGATGAAGACAACCAGGGAAGAGTCGACGGTCTCGTTGATGATGATCATGGAGGTAACGAGGTAGATCTCGAGGTGGAGACACAGAGCGATACGGTACTGGATGTAAGCCTTCATACGCTGGAAAATCTGGCGGGCCAACTTGATAGCATCGACGATGGTGGAGAGACCGGGGGCGAGGAAGACAATATCGGCGGCAGCCTGGGCAGCCTCAGTGGAACCTTCGACGGCAATACCACAATCGGCCTTCTTGAGGGAGGGAGCATCGTTAACACCGTCACCAGTCATGGCAATCAAGTGACCACGCTGCTGCAACATCTCGACGACCTGGTACTTGTGCTCGGGGAACACCTCAGCGAAACCATCAGCCTTCTCGACAAGGTCGTGCTGGGCGGAACCAGCGAGACCACCGTGGATCAGACGCTCAGAGTTGTAAACCTTGGTACCGAGGGCAAGCATCTTGCAAGTCTCCTTGGCGATGGAGATAGCGTCACCAGTAAGCATCTTAACGGAGAGACCGAGGACCTGGGCCTCAGCGATGGTGTGGGCGGTATCCTCACGGGGGGATCGAACATGGGGTACATGCCCAGAAGCTGCCAGGGCTCACCCTCCTTCTGGACGGCGACACCAAGGGAACGGAAACCACGGCGAGCGAACTCGGTGACCTTCTCACGGT